TGCGAGCTTACTCCGCGTACGACTTCGTTGACATATCGAAGTATAAGCCTTTAATCGGATTTGAGCTATGTAGCATAACACTTCGATAAAGAGTTTGACCGTCGTACGAAATCATTTGCAGCATTAGCTGACGAGCTTTTTCGCGCGACTGTATTATGTAAAACTCTATTCAAATTATATGTAAAATTGTTTGTGTTTCATAAAATGTTTGATACGATTGACGATCGAAATATAAGAAGCGGTGAATCCGGCCGCTTTTTAACGTGCCGCAGAAATTTTTAACGAAATAACTGATAACTAGCGGAATCTTTTACATTTTTTATTCAACAGAAGCTACGAATATTTGTTAATCTTTCGAAGTGATAAATAATCGCGCGATAAATAAACACGTTGTGCGCGGAACACGAGTAAAGTCAAGCTACTATACGCGAATAAAAGCAATAAAAAGCAAGATCCTCGTTTCAGCGTTTCCCTCCGTAATGCACCGCTAAAGAGTCTAAAGAAGATAAAAACGAGCAAATGAAAAATAATCACCGGACCTGGTGCGGTTAGAAAGGCTGTCGAGAAGAGCGGGAAGCAAAGGAAGAGGAGAAAAGAAACGAAAGAGAGAGAGAAAAGGGGAAAGAGTGAAAGCAACGAGAGCAGGGGTTGGGGTGGCCACCATCGCCCGCCGCTGGAGGCAGCGACGTTTGAGAATACACGCGCCCCCTTCGGCTAATGGAAATAAGTTCGCCTTTCTGACCCTCCAGCTGCGAATTGCGAGGGGGGGGGGGTGGATGAAAGGCGGACGAGAGCAGGCATCGCGCAGGCATCGAGCAAGCATCCGGCGACAAATTCGACCGGTGGAGCTTTCCACCGAATTAGACGATAAATATCCCTGATTTACCGCGCGGGAGTCCCTCAGGCTCACCGTGTGGTTTACTCTTCGTATTGTTGACTTTACGATTAAATTTGAAGTTGAAAGCTGTCATCTTTTTGCAATGCAATTACAATTTAAAATTTTGGAAAAAGGAAAAATCAATACAAGTTATATATTTTCATAATTCAAAGGTAGCCAACTGTTACCGGAGACTTGCTGAGAGAATCAAATTACTTGAAACACTTCAAACGTCATTTCGAGCGCTTTAACTAAACGAATAACAACTTGTGCTCCAAAACAGAACAAAACAAAAATTGTTGGCGAGATGAGTTAAAGCTGGTTTCAAGGACGGAAACTCATCAAGCGTGCTTCTTGCAAAAACGCAATAAAGAGGGATAGGCGCGTGGAATTCCGACAACCGCAAACACGATGAGCCGCAGATTAAGCTCGCGCAATCGCGCAACAATTACATTGATCTGGAATCTCAAGGATCACGCCGTCACGGCGCATTCGATCGAACCATAATTCGTGGCATCGAACGCTAAAGTGCTAATTCATTTAGCTGGTTCCGCGCGCATAATCGATGCCTCGATCTCTTGTCACGGATAATTAACCCTTTCGCCTCAGACAGAGAAGACGCGGCGGGGAGATAATTAGCCAATTAGGCGTTACACGTCGCGACGCGCGTAAGACCGAAAGATCGACGCCGATGCACGACGGGTAAAATTATCGCGAACGAGCATTCTCGGGAAACATTATTATCGACCAACTGGCGGTATTAAACCTCCCATTAAGACAAGCGGAAATAGACAATCCACAGATGCCTTTAGGCGTTTATCGCCAATATAAGCAGCGCGCTTTCCTCACGTTATTATCAAGCGTATTATGACCAAGATTTACGTTAATATAATGCCAGTTAGCTAGATTTTGCTTTTTTTTTATTTAAAAACTTTCGCCTTATAATTTAAATAACGCATTTATTGCAAGACTGGTTTTCTCGATCCGAGTCATTGATTCGATGAAAAATAAACCGCCGCGTGTCGCGAAATGAATCGCGGATGTACGCGCGCTATTTACCGCGACGCGCCGTCGAGCGGAGAGCGAACTGTGGCGGAAAGATTGCTCCATTACAACGGCGACAAGTGAGGTGTGCGTGCAGCATCTCACGGACGGGATAGAAAAAGGAACTGCAAGCGGAGAGCTACCGTACCGGGCGTATGCGCGATCTCGAGGATGTATTTCGATTTATCTCGCACAAGTGAGTGGTTTCAGCATACACGTGTACAGAGCAAGCACCAACACTAGCGAGTACACCGAGTGGTATTAGGGGCTCTTATGTCGTTTGTCCCGCTCTCTTCGTTCTCCGCTCGTGCTCGTCCTAGCTGACTCGCCGTCTCGCTCTTTCTCTCTCTCTCTCACTTTTGCCTCCTTGTTCACGCTCCCCTCGTGTCGAGGGAACATGACAATAATACGATATGAGGCTACGAGCCGCAGAATATAACGTAACTCGTCTCAGCGGGGTTCTCTGGCGTGAGCTCTACCTCTTACCCCCTGCCGACGAAGGGAGAATAACGAGTTAAAGAAAGAGGGGCAATGGAAGAAATAACGCAGAGAAAGAGAGAAAGAGAGAGAGAGAGAGAGAGAGAGAGAGAGAGAGAGAGAGAAGAGAGAGAGAGAGAGAGAGAGAGAGAGAGAGAGAGAGAGAGAGAAGGAAGGAGAGAGAAAGAGCATATGAAAAGTCGACTAAAAAAAAACAGCAGGCGCTTGTAAAGTGCAATAATGCCGCTCAGCAGGGACATTCTTAAGACGCGTTTATGCCGACAACTTTTGTGGAGAACAGTGTTATCGACGGTATAAACGAGTTTCTGGCAAACAAGTGTTGACCGTTTTTATTGTAGCCGACCAAAGTCATGAATTTTTTGACAAAAAGCCTTGTTAGCTAATTTTGTCACGGGTTAACCCTAAACATACAACACGGACAACACTGAATGTGTAACAGAAAATTAGTGAGTTCAGTGATAATTTTAACATTTTTATAAATCTTTTAAAACTATTTTAGTCATCTACTTTCAATTTTCACTCCTTTCCATTATACTGCTTAATACCGTTAACAAGATAAATGTAATTGCTGTTATCAAAAATCGGCGGTATGATATTGCTATATTTCATTTACGTGTAAAATGCAATCAAGCATATTCGAGAGAGTTACGTGTACCAGCAATAAAGAATCAATTTAACAAATCTAACGAATATATATTGTGTTTGTTTACGAGGAGAAATTTGTACAGCATTCGCGTGCAATCGACTCACTTGCCAAATTTGAAATCTGATGATACAGTATCGGCAAAATTCGATAGATCCATCCTTCTCGCATCGTTAGAGAGAACGCCGGTCGGCCGTAGCGAGCGATGTCGCGCGCATAAAGTGCCGTACGTCGGTTTATAAACTATTTATGCTAATGGTGCGCTCGAGCGGCCGACTCATCGCCGTCGGTGAAGTCGTAATTGCTTTTACGCGAATGCAATTACGGGGCTTTAACGATGACGCGACGCGCTTAATTGCGTTTATATTCGCGCGGGATATCTACGTAATGAAGAAGACAATGGAGCGAGAGAGAACGGGGGTGAAATGGACCGCGTGCGGTGTAGCTATCGCAATTTTTTCGTGTCCTGCGCGCTCTTTTATTGCGACTACTTTTTCCACGATAAAGACGCCCGTCGTTGTGTCCTCGTCATAGTCGTCGTCGAAGGTCCGCAAAAACCGAGTTTCCAATTAACTGAGGCACGGAAGACCCTCGTTATAAAGAGGAGTTAGAAATCGAATAAATGCGTTTTATAAAACGAAATGAATTTACATCATTGAATTCATTTCCATAAAATTTACTACACAACAAGCTATATGTTTTTTTTTTTATTATTAAGCAAAGCTGCTTATTAATTTTATACAAAGGCAATAATTGATAACATTTTAATCGCTGAAGAATAAAATATTCTGTGAATCTAACTTATCTTGCAAATTCTTTAGTACATTTTATTTTTACAACCTCTTTTATGTCGGTTCTGCAGATTCTCGTCAGAAAATTCAATATTTTATGTCAAACATTATCTAGACAAATTATTACATAATAATCAATCAAGAAACATGATAGCACTGTCAAATTCAAATGCATTTTTACGGCACATTCTCGGCAATGAATCTCAAGGATGTTAATAGACGACGACGGTGGTTTTCGCCGTTTGATCCGTGCAAACACTATACATCCACGCAATGCTCAAGCGGACACGTGTACCGACACAACCATGAGCCATTAGATATTTACACGCGTCGAAGTTGGTCGGCGACGAATCGGTCATATATGAATTTTACTGCTTCATGTCGGATCTTACTTAAAGTAATAAAGTAAACCTGAGATGGGTTAGCAATCCGGACGGTGGGTCGTAAATTTCTCATACCGTACGGTTGCTCACCCGGCCGTCCGTCCCCTCAAACCTTCAGCCTTTCTCACCCTCTTTCCCCCCCCTTCTCTTTCTACCCGCCAAACCCACTGCTTGCTCGTCGAGCACGATTTCAACCCTATTCACTCGCTGTGACCCTCTGTGCACCCGCTTTCTACTTACAGACCCTTACGAGTCGACGACAAAGCTGCCTACGAATAACAGATTATTATGGCGGTGATTGTTTCGGATATATGCTACCATCAGTATAGTGGTTTTATGTCGACCCAAAGTAACGAAGGGTTAACTGATTTCCGATTTAAATTAATTAACTTTACGCGACTTCCCATTGTCAATTCCATTATCTTTCAATTGATACTGCTTTCGACGGTAATTTTGTCGAAATATACGGGCTTACTATTTTGCATGTATTTCTGCTTGTAGATTTTGCAAACATAACAAAAACCAGGCAAATATTCTGAATAGGAAAAAATTGATAGAATTTTTCGACTTTCATGTATGAATAACTGATGAGAACGCATAGTACATGCTGTTCTTTTACAAATACCAATTTATAGAAAACTGATCAATATGTTTTTTTATAAATACTTATAGCATTTTAGATGTGTAATTCATAAAAATATTAAATGATAATACTAATATAAAGTAATAATACTAAAAGAATTGTATGAAAAATCAAGTCTAACCTTGCGTGAAGTTTCTTCAGCTGCGACGCCGAAAATATATCGCTAGAGACATCTTTCGAAGAATCGTTGAATCTGCTTTCCCCGATATCATCAGCAAAAATCTGCACAATATCACATTTATATTAATTTAATATGATTCTAACAAGCTTTTTTCACATTATTACCTTTATTGAATCATAAATGCATCATTAAATGATTTATCATGATGCTGCGACAATTCATTATACGACAAAAATGTAATCAACAGTCAAATCAGCAACCGTATACTTTCTAAAAATTTATCCATCATTATTTTTTACAAAAGCTTCAACAAATTACGGAATTACGTTTATTATATTTATACGCGCAAAAACATAAAAACTTATTAACGACTTCACTAATATGTTCCTTTCGTTATGTATTAACTTTGACTAAGGTATTAGAAATCCGGTCATTGTAAGTAGACAGATGGCGTTCATAGTGTCATGGCCTTTTCCTGTTCACACTTGCACGGACGAAGACGTGAACGTAAGTTATAGAGTAAGAATTATCAGTGTAGCGAGGTAATCTCGTGCTGATAAAGTATAAGTCGATATCATCATTCAAGACCAGCTAGAAATTGTGAGTGATTGCACATGTGATGGAATTTATGTGGAATTTTGTACAAGAAACGCATGCCTGCATGCGGTACTAGCGACCGCGTGGCCACATGTTTTACCTATTTCGTTTCCATTACTTTTCATTCAAACATTTAACAAGCTAAAATATTGCTTTGTTCACGATCGATTTGTTGCAGACACAAAAATATCTTCTATCGATGAATTTTACGCTATCATGTTTTAATGATACTTTGATATTTTAATTCTAAACAAAACAATTGGCTGCTCCTAAAAATATAAATATTTTGTTACATGACGGTTATTAATAGAGAAATAAGAAGAACTATTATTTTAATTTAATATATATATTTAACTAATTGACCATTTTGCAGATTAAACATGGATGACAAGGAAGCATTTGACGTCGATATGGTGGTGGCAACCACAAATACATTGCCAGTAGCCATGCCGGCTGAATTGCCTGAGATCAAACTATTTGGGCGCTGGAATTGTGACGATGTGCAAGTCAACGATATGTCCTTGCAGGATTATATCGCCGTTAAAGAAAAGAATGCCAAGTATCTTCCACATTCAGCAGGACGTTATGCTGCAAAGCGTTTCCGAAAAGCACAGTGTCCCATTGTGGAACGTCTTACAAACTCTCTCATGATGCATGGCAGAAATAATGGAAAAAAACTAATGGCTGTACGAATTGTGAAACACGCTTTTGAAATCATTCACCTTCTAACTGGTGAAAACCCTTTGCAGGTGAGTTTAATATCTACATAATATTTATTTCAAGTATCCGTTTGGCATTTAATCTCATCTTTTTGCATAAATAATCTTGTATCATTTATATAAATATTAACATCAAAATATTTGATTAAGTTCAAAATAAAAGTTTGTTGTATCAAAATTTTGTTTTTTCTTTTATCTCATCTCTTTTCACTTTTATTTAACAAACTTACTGTTCTGTAAAAAGATTTTATAATTCAATAGCAAGCATTTAATGGAAATATTTGTGTTTCAGGTTCTTGTTACAGCCATTATTAATTCAGGACCAAGGGAAGATTCTACGCGTATTGGACGCGCTGGTACTGTAAGAAGACAAGCTGTGGACGTATCTCCACTACGTCGTGTTAATCAAGCTATTTGGTTGTTGTGTACTGGTGCGCGAGAAGCTGCATTCCGCAACATCAAGACAATCGGCGAATGCTTAGCAGATGAACTTATTAACGCCGCTAAAGGTTCATCGAATTCATACGCGATCAAAAAGAAGGATGAGTTGGAACGCGTTGCCAAGTCTAACCGATAAACACTTTCTATATGCGGAAAATATAAATAAACATTCTATCTTTAAATTGTTTTCTATTTTATTCTATAAAAAATTTACCCAAGAATACCATTTTAATTTTTAAAATTAATTGTTGAAAATTATAAAGCAATAATCAACATAAAACTTCAAATTAAATTTTTATCTTAAGTCAAAGTATAATTAAAATTCAAAAAATCAAAAAATTTGAGTACAAAAAACTATTGAAATCTTTTATTTTTCTATGCCATTAAGACAATTTATAACTAAGCTTGTAACATTTATTTTTTTTTATTCAAAATTCTATTATGATCTTTTTTTTTAATTTAATAGCTTGGATTTTCTGTATTGACTTATTAAAAATAACAACTTCATATTTATCATAGAAAATATAATTTAAAAAATTTGGTTTGAATCAGTTTTATTATTTGAATTAAAATTAATCATTGAGGGAATATTTCCTATAAGAAATTATTTTTTAATAAATCAATAATGCATCGATTGAATTGTAAGTGCATTGTGTTAGTACGCTATTTTCTTACCAAGAGGGCGTTTGGTATAAATATAACGACGTCGACAGTGAATGTGGAGGGAGATATACCTTGAGGTTAGAAGATTCATGGAATGAAAGAAGACCTTTAATATATCAAGTGTTAGATAATACCTCTGACAATGGCAGGTGCTTTGAAAAGGGTAATTTATCCATTTTCAATAAAGAATACACAGAATTATAGAATATCATCTGTTACAATTCACATCTACATTATTGACTAACTCGTTGAAAAATCTTAGAATTTATTTTACTAATATAACTATTGTGTTTTGCTTGCAGTCAACGAATTTGACAGGATTAGCTGTTTGCAAGAATCCTCAAGTAACATTAATTCCACTATACAACAGAATTTTGCGAGTGTTAGAGAAGTTTCCGAAGGATTATGCTTATCGGAAAGAAACAGAGCAGGTTATCAAAGATAGATTGAAGATTGTGAAAGAGGTGAGACAATGCTCACAAAAGAAACAACAATCATCGTATGAGATAATACTATATATAGTTTTTGATTAAATACTATATTTTATAGAGTGCTGATGTAAAAGCTATAGAGCACAAGATAGGTTGCGGACAAGTGGAGGAACTTATAATACAAGTAAATAATGAGATATCACTGGCAGAGAAGATGCTAGTGTGGAAACCATGGGAGAAATTTAATTCAAGAAGCACCACCTAATCAGTGGACGTGGCCACCTCATAAGTAATACTAATTTGCTATAGATAATTTGTATATAGTGTGGAACTCAGATGTCAGTTCAAATAAAATATAGATTGTGCATTTACGTAAAATTACAATATTTCACTGTGACATATTTACTGTTTAATAAACATAATAAATAAAGTCTTTATAACTCTTTTTTTTCAATCTTATAGAAAATATGAAGTTATTTAAAAAATATAATTATGAAACAAGTGTTTTTTTCTTTTAAAATTATAATATACTTTCCAATGCAATTATGATATTTCATGTACTTTTAAATGCATATTTTTTATTATACCATGTATTGCAAAAATTGATTGCATTGATACTATCAAGAGACACGATAGTGTCTCGCGCTAAGTAATAATAGGATATTATGTGTTTATCAAAACATTATTCTTTTGCTGTTTCTTATGTTTATTGATTTATTTTTACAAGTGTATGCTCAATGTATTTAAACTTTTAAACAAAATATTTGTCCAAATTTGTATGGTTCAAGATTTATCCCAACAAATACTAACCAACAATAACATAACATCAATGTTATAATTTCTTACTCAACAATATAATAGTTACGTACAAGATATGTTAAATTGCAATAATGTTGTTAAATAGGAAATTATAACATTGTTATGTTATTGTTGGCTAGTGTTTGCTGTGTGTGTGTGTGAGATATCTATATTATGAATATTATAAATTTCTATACACTTAATAGAATTAGAGTGAAGAATCAGCAAGAAAATCTCAAAATAAAATCAATTTCAATTAGCTCAATGATTCAAAATAGGCAACAATAAATGATGCAAATTTGGTAAAATATGCATAAATATTCAATTAATCATGCATCTAATGCCTCTTGCGCGATTTATGTACGTGTATTTCATCACAATGATATGTATATATAATTGATGAACAGATGAAAGTACTTATTAGCTAGGATATTATAGTTTATACTCACTACAGATTCTGCCTTCGATTGCACCAGCTCTCCATCGATGAATACCAAAAATTCGTATTCAATTACGCGCTTTATTGAACAAAACACAAAAATCATGAATACGACATACAAAACGCGAGATAAATACTGTATCTAACGAAGAATATATCGCGCGTCTGAAACAATGGCGTCTGTGCCTATGGCACAGTTCAGATCGATGAAACACTGTTAATTGCGAATATTCGCGGAAAATAATATGTTCTAACGATTGCCCGTCACTTTCATCGATATTACTGACAAAAATTTGCAAGCATTATACACTTTTACTACGTGATTGCTACGAATAAAACAAGATCTAATTACTTATCTTTCGCGCTCTGCGGTTCATCCAGGAAAAAGAACTTTACCAGTTGCAACGCACTCTAGCGGCTATTCTGCATTTTAAATCAAACCAATCAAATTGAAAGAAATTGTTGTGGGTTTAGAGTTATTGCATATAAAAATCAAAACACTTAGGCAGTAAGTGAGTTGACCAATCACAATCAAGTATTCTCGAGAATACTTGATTGTGATTGGTCAACTCACTTATTGCTAAGTTTTACTATCTATGTCTTTCTATGTGCTGCAGCCCTTACCGTGCGATAAATTAGAACACACTGCGGCCGTTAGGTCTCTTCCGGTTCGATCGTCGAGCGCGAATGTTTGGTGAAATGTAAGTTGTTTAATTATATATTTTAATCTGTAGTAATCACGTAGTATTGTAAATTATTGTCTACAATATCGATTAAAGTAACAGGCTATTATCAAAATACATTATTTACCGCAGATATTCGTGATTAGCATCGATCGTCGGACAGTCGGATCGTATTCAAATATTGTAGGTTACGATTTTAATGAGTATATAAATTTTGATGTCACACATATGCAAAATAATTTCTACAATCGTTTAAGGTGTCTGAGCGCAGTATACTTTTTATTAGATGCATGTTGAAATTCAGACAATGTTTGTCTCTGATAATCTTACAATTAGCGCGACCGCCAAAATAACTGTCCGTTTCGCTCGCTCTGAATACAGATACAATTGTCAACAGCAGCCATATTGCAAACTAAAATTTTATGCTCAATGTATCAGTGTCAATGTATCGTGGAATATGTAAGGTTGTAATAATCGGGACAATTATGTGCGTGGACATGTTGCGGTAACAACCGTGTTTTATGTAGTGTGGCGAATTCGCGACGTGAATCCGCGATTTTCGCGTAAGTGAAGTGTGCGGGTCGATGTTGCATTCGGTAGTGCGGGTAACAATAAGTGCGGGCTTCCAATCTTCATCAATTTTTCGATGGAGCTGACGCAGAGGAATCTTGAGCAGTATCTACAGCGGATTGACCAAACTGCAATACCTTATTTGGTAAATACAATTATTTATTCATTATTGAAATATACATATAATTTCATGATAACATATACACACATGATTACAATTTGTATCGATTAAATATTTAATATAAGCTGTTTGGAAATCTTTTTATTAGAATATGTATTAAAGCTTTTATTAATTATTACAATTTTTAAATAATTGTTTACACAATTTATAATATATAATTATGTTTTAATTAAGATGAAAATAATTAAATCATAATTTTATATATATAATGTATAATGATTGTAAATATTAAAAATAGCAAATCTTTTACTGAAATATTTTATTTCAAAGTTTCTGTGTGCGTTACATTACATAATATTTTACATGCAATATTTTGCAAATGACAGATAACAAATAAATGATTATTTTAAAGTTACTCGCCGGCGCCTGATATCCTTCCTAAGCTTTCTTTCAATCCTTCTTACAGTTCTCTAAGGCATTCATACGTGCGTTTGCGACGCAAATACAAAAACTGTACGATTTTTTAAACGACACTCCTAACGTGTACTTTGTTATTTGGACAAAGTAAAATCTGAATATTATCGTCGAGTGTCGTTTAAAACATCATGCGATTTTTGTATTTACATTGCGAATGCGTATGAATGACTTAAACTACAAGAAGAATTGAGAGGAGGCTCAGAAAGGACATCGGGCATTGGCGGAACAATTTTAGAGTAAGTAATCAGTTATTTATTTGTCATTTGCAAAATATTACACGTAAAATATTGTATAATGTAACGCACATAGAAACTTTGAAATAAAATCTTTCAGTAAAAGATTTGCAATTCTTAATATTTACTGTTATTAGATTTTGTAACATTTATTATTTTTAAAATTGTAGTTTTTTCGATAAATAATATGTTTTTTTAAAATATTATTAAAAGAATTTATTTAAAAACAATGTAAAATAAGATATCTCAGACTATTACAATATCAGAATATTAATTTCCAGATACAATTGATGATGTATTTAACTGAGGTACAACGGTGAGTGAATTCATTCATTTTACTTGTGTAATTGCATGAAACATTGATTGCATGAAAATTTCTATATTGATCCTTGCTTGAAAATAAGCCATTGAAAATTTCTATTGTTACTGATATTTTTTCAATTTCTATTTCAATCGTATTTTTTTCAACTTCTGAATTCAGTGATCTATACAATCATATGCTTGAGTTATCTTATTGCGTGACGGTAATATCTTACTCTTTTTAATTTTGTATTGTATCTTGGCCCTTTATAATCGTAAAACCGACTGTCCGTTCCCTGGTAACGCGGTGGTCCATCCAAATCGTTTCTCGCCGTTCGAACCGATAGTGATTGGGCCTTATGCGGCTAACAATAAGTGCACCGATGAAAAAACGAAGTGATCAAACGCGGGGGCCCGAGGCACCGTAATTTCGTGATCGTTATCCACCGAAACCTGATGCGGGCAGTCTCTCTGTCTGAGAAGTGCATGTCTTGTGCGCATTAGATTTTTAAACTTATTGCCGAACAACCGATGATGTAGCCCTCGATGCCAAATAATTTAATCTCATTTTTGCCTTGATATAGTGATTTATATTTTTTAATCGAGAATATCAATTGATGAAAAATAACTAATCATAAATATTCAGAAATATTTTGTTAATAATACTTTTCAAAAGTAAAATAAAATTTATTGAAATAACTAAGAAATAGATAGATTATTTAATTTATGTAAGTGATGTGAAAATAATATTTGTGTTAAAAGAGAGTAAAATTTTATAAATTTTCTTTGGGGGACATAAAATATGCGAAGATATACAATTTGTTTAAAGATTTCAGTAAACAAGAGTTTATGCAGACGCATAAGTCTGCATAAAAGATTAACATTTGTTTCCTACTTGTTTCTATTTTTCAATCATTATTGCTCTCTAAATTTCGCAGCTAAAATGCTAAAAATGTTTTTATTATCAAAGTTGAAATATTGATATTGAAAATGTTCTAAAACATTAAATGTTAAGAAGTTTATATTAAGATACCGGAACATCAAAATAGCTTGACTTAAAATGCAAACTTTAAGACACCGACGATCAAGTTGGAGGCGTAACAGACCGCGCTTATCAGGTCTGCTTCCCGCGGAAGAGAACTGTCCTTGCGTTCCCGCTTAAAAAGCCGCGGTACGGAAGATCCACGGGCCCCAGGAGGCTGACAGAGAAGAGCGAAATGGAAAAAGGTGTACCGTTCTCTGGCGGAGAAGTAAACGAGTGGCGCGGCACGGCATTAATCCCCCACCCGCACCAGGTCCCGATTCCGTGCCGTAGCTAGAAGTCTGCTCTGCGCTACGGCTCGCACTCGTTCGCGAGACGCCGAGGCGGTAAGCAGTAGTACATTCGCGCATCCAGCCTTTCGTCGTCCCTGTCGTGTACCCTGCGCACACGTGTACCCCGAGTACCAATCGCGAGAGCTCGGAGGAATTTTGCGGTGGAAGTCGCGTCGCGTCGCGTCGCGTTACCTGCGTTCGGCGATCGACAGTGATCGTGACAGTGCATGATATCCGTCGTTTCCTCGCCGTTCGCTTGAGAGATCGAGAGCGCGTAGTGCATTATTATATACCGTTCTTCCACACACACATAAACATACAGCGAGCGGTGCAGTGATCTTTCGTACCAGCCGCGGACCCGGCTTCGTTGGTTCGATTGTGTCGGATTAAGAGAGGAAGAGAAAGACAACCCGCCCGTGGGAAAGGGAGCAACGCTGCATATTTATCGGTGAGTGTCAATTTTATATTTTTTGTCAAAAAGCATTAATCGGCCAAGTGTTGAATATATCGGATTAGATTCCGCGCGAAAAGGTAGCTCCAATGTTCACTCTTGCAGTATTAAATTAAAAATCAGGTGTCTTGGATTACATGACTTTTTATATAAAAATATTATAGTACAAATTTAGAGAATTATTTTGACGTCAATATGTTAATGTTTACACACTTATTTAGTGTCAATGATGAAAGAATTTGACATTATATCTTGAAAATTTCAAGGTAATTCTGTTCTTCGGTTAATTTCAATTGCACTCTAATTAAATTAATTTAAGACAAAAATAATTAGCAATGAAAATTAAATCGTGCAATTCCAGATTTGTCATAGACTCTCGTTAAAGTTTAAGCATATGTTTTTCCTATTTTGTTCTTGATTTTATATATCATAAACAATTTTTTTCTGATAAAAGTCTGACATTTTTTGAAACAGTCGAATCTATCCGATATATTTATCACGTAGATAAGCCATTTTTCTGTAGTGTAAGAATTGAAACTTTTAAGTTTGGAATTTAAACTATGCGCCGTTTGCGGTCGCTCGACTCATAAATAATGTACATTATGATAACGTACTAATCGACACGATAAAGCAGTCGTATGACATTTTACTACAACAATTCAAGTAGACATATTGTCAGTTATTCGCATCAATGATCTAATGAGATAAATTGACACTTTCACGAATTTGAAGATTCGTAAGATATTAATCTTGGAGATTAAAAAATCAAGTTTAGATTAACATCCAATATTATATTAAATTCTTCAATTATTAGCGGGAAATAAGTCATGAGTTATTCAATTCCAAAAACTGCGACACTTCGCGACACTTGGGCACGGTGGGTGAGCGGGTTACACGCCCTATTTCCATTCGTACCTTCGTTACACATGTTATACATGTATTACACACAAGTGCGGGAGCGCAGGTGATATCTACAGAGGAACCATGTGTTCGTCGCCCCGGGTTTATTTTCGATTAGTTTTCGACTATCTTACATGACGTTGACCTGCTTTTGAAACATTGCGTTACGATACGTTCCCATACAGCTAATCGAGCTAATAACCATCAGATACGTCGATCATCGAAGATTATTAAATTTATTTTTAGACATGCAGTATCTGTTAGCTTTTAAAATACTATTTGCCATAGTGTTCAAAGAAAATAGCTTGTTTTAACGAACATGTGATTATCGAATAAATTATCTGAAATGTTTTGGTCATAAAGAAGTAGGAGAGAATCGAGAAAATGAAAGCGTAACAGAAATAATAGAATAAAGAATAAGGCATAAAAGGAAACAGTAATACAAGAATTATTTTTTGCGATTCGCTACTACGCCATTGTTCGTTCACGGTGATTATAAATCCCAAAACACAATCGGTAGTTTATTACGTTCCAGTCGTTATCCGTTCTCTATGCATGATCGAATGCGTATACAAACCTCACATTCACTTATACGCGATATTATACGCAGGTGAAGTTACGGAATGTGCCGGGAATGTTCATGCGTGTAATTTTTCACCGTTATATATATATAGCTGGGTAGCCGAGGAGAAAATAGTTGTTTTATTTATAATATATAATTTCTTGGGTGATTAATTTCCGCGTGCCGCAGTTATTGCAACTATTCCGTATTATAGGAATGTACATCTGATTATCGTCGTGATTTACAAGTCTTAAAACATGGAAAAGTTACCAATTTTCACATTTTATTCGCTTTTAATAATTATAGTAGCATATTCGTCGATTCGCAAAAAAAATTTCAAGAAATTCCGCGTTTCTTATAACTTCTTATCTTGAATTTGATGTCTTTGTGGTTTTTAACTGATTTTTTAGTTTAATAATTAAGATTATCTGTTTTATAAATTAGGAAAAATAAAGACAGAATTCTCAATATATAATTCGCATACACAACGACAGACGCAGATTGCAGCAAGTATTTAAAAAGAAAAGAGCACAGTCGTCGCAGTATGCGGTATTCTAAAACGGAAAACAATGCCCACAAAAATGAGCGCATCTTTCCGCTTGCAGCCAAACACAATGCGCGATTTTTACGAGCGCGCTGGCCGACGGAGTAGACGTTATAGCTTTCGCGAATAAGTAGCAGCCGAACGGACAGCTACAAAATTTTGCAGGGCTATATCTTCTTACGAAATTTCCTCGTGCATGACGGTTCGCCTATAAATGTCACATTCTACCGCGACTTACTGTTTTGCAATGCCTTTCCTTCCATTCTCTGCATTCTGCAAAGATTCCATGCTGCATTTATTATATACTCGCCGAGAGTCTAATAAATTAAGATAAAAGCATTTTTTACTTGTTACTAGCTAATAATCTTCTTTTAAGATAGAAAAATAGCTTTTCTCGCAAATTTCTTTAGATTTCAAAGAGTTAGGAAATTTTTTGAGCGAAAGTTACCAGCGTCCGCCGCAATACGTAATATCATTCTTTATGGCTTTATTTCTTGCCTCTGATTGAAATAATCAAAGAAAAAAAAGGAATGCCAAAAATGATTGTCGCTTAACACCAACAAGATAATTCGATTGACTTTTTCTACTCGTCTAAAGATGAATTGATCACGCTTCTTCGATTTTTTGGCGGAATTGTGCCGCGGAAACGATGCGCGGATCTGCGATCTCTGGTCGACAGAGTATGGAAAATGACCGCGGAAAGGTAGCCCCTCTGCATTGGTAGAACGTTAACGTGCCGTGACGTTGCCCCGTTAGAATACTTCGCGGCGGGCTACCATCGTGCCCGCGCGTCGATCGTGAACTTTATTTACACTCTCTCGTGCTGAATCCGCATCTCCGCCGGCCGACTGGCGCGATAGCCATCTTTTTCACGACATTACGGTACTCATCGCGCCGAAATTTTCCCCAAAAGATTCATTATTCGCACTTACGATGTTTCTGTTGCACTTTGCCTAAATAGACGCAAGTTAACGCGGCGTAACGCAGACGCCGTAATTCGTGCGAACCGTTTGCGACGGCTACAGAATACAAATTGTCATTTTATGTGTCATGCATAATTATAGGTTTTATTACGCGTGTATTATATCACTCGTATACATTGAATATTTTCGGAAAAAAGAATGTTGCGTTTACGTTAATTTCAGTGCGGTGATGGACCTTGAATGACAGAGTCGAATGACGACTATTGCATGTTGGAATTTTCGACGAAAAACTAGACCTCAATGCAGGTAAATGAGTGAAGTATCGCGTAAAGTATTACGATTGAATAAATGACGGTCTGCTATGTTTTCATCATCCGGCTTTTTTATAGAGGCGAAGATAAACTAGATCTAATTACGCAGTCAAGGCGACACTTTGCAAAGGTCTCTTGCGGCCACGTATCGTGTATCGATTACGACCGCTAGGTTTACTTATTCTGCTTACAACTAATTCATTTATTTATTATTCGGAAATTTTTATGTGTTTGAGCAATTCGCTGACGTTTAAAAGGATCTAAGAACAGGATACAAGATTTTATGAGTGAATTCTATACTCTAATTTAGTTTTGATAAATCTGTGCTTTATACACACAACGCGGTTATTG